TAAAGCAATGTATGCAACTCATTCTAAATTAAAATGTCCGTTGTCATCGTTCTTATTTATTTATCTCTAATGAAAATACCACTAAGACCTTTTTTTTTTTCTTATTACGTGCTCCATCCTTAGGCACTACACGGAAAGGGAGGGATGTCCTGTGTTAAGGGAAACTGGCTCGTATCCACGTTACACATGGGGAAAACCACGAAAACGCCCATGCAGCCAGCCCGTTCGCCGGGACTCGAACCCCGGATCGAACTACCAGTGTTCAGCGGCTTTAACCGCTCCACTAAGATTTATTAACTGTGCTTTTGAGATCTGGAACTGGGAATTTTGAGAAATGTCTCCGATTGGCTGGGACCTGAAATAACAAAAGCAAATAAGATTTCAATTGTTCTTTCTCTAAACCTTTTACAGCAGGAAACTGCTTCAATAATCTTACATTTTTATATGACAATTTTCATCCGCAAACTTTGAAAAAGCTTTTCAGTTTTTCTTGTCTTACTGTAATAACTTTAAAGAAGTTATAAAAATAGAATGCAGTTGGTGAACATTTTACGGAGTTGTGAACAAGTGAGCACAGCACTCAGTTACTGAAGGTATTCATATGAAATTTAATTTTGGTTTGTGCTCTCGTTCTCCGGTATCCGACATCGTACAAAAGACGATTTTCGGTCAAAATTTCGATTTTTACTTTATTACTTATCTAAGAATACATCTTACTATCAAATACAGTTTTTGTTGTTGTAGGTTATTATAACTGGAGTTATAAGCATTTTTCTGTAGCGAATGAACAAGTTCCTACATCTGGGCCGATGAGCGTTTAAATAGATATACCTATTTAGAACTTTATTTATCAGCAATTTTGTAATTATAAACCTGTCTAAGTTTAAATATTTTGCAATCATTTAAGATCTGGGGATGTTTTTCTCTTAATTTCTATTTAGTTTTGGCGCAGAGGGTATTCGACGTTGAATGGAGGGTTGCTGCTTTGTCGATAGCGTTGACAAAGTGCTCATTTGAAAGCTATGTCACATTTTTGCATCAATTGCAACAAAATAAACAAAATGGAATGCAATCTTCAGCATGACATATGTAAAGCGTAACATATTTGTTCTGCAAATTATAAAGAAGCAGCTTCGGGTATGGAAGCAGTTGGTTCTTATCCGCTGTTTGAATGATCTATTACATTACGAAAGATGAAGTACACAGAGTATTATGAGGATGGGGATTCTAAAGAGTTTTTAATTATGAAAGATATATAGGGTAAAGATTCGGTTAAGAAACTGGAATGCATTGGACATGTACAGAAAAGGGTTGGTAGTAGACTACGAAAAGTAAAAAACTCCGCTCCTGAATTGAAAGGAAAAGGTAAACTGACTGATTTTTTTATAACTGCAGATTAGGGATATTAGAAGTAATGTTGGAACGTAATTGAGATGCAGCAGGTTGTCTAGCTGCTTTTTCATTGTAGCTCTTCTTCGAAGCCAATGCCCTCCTCAATTAACGAGTTGGTGCAACTATGAATTCGATTGCAGAAATCAAGGAAAAAAATCATGCAAACTCTGGTATATAATGTATTTTGAATTTAATTAAACCTCATAAGGAGTTGACTAATAAACAAGAGGATTAAAAAGTGGCATACATGGCAATCTCAAAATATTAACGTTTTAATGGCATTTGCATCGTTTCAAAAGAAACTTTCATAAACTTGCGAACATTAAATCTTTGGAGCAATGTAATGTTGTGTTTATTTATGTTTTTAATGATGGATCATAGGTTTGCTTGGCATTTTCAGGTTAAGTATGTCCTGATTTTTACACTGAGCAGGAATTCGAAAACTTAATAAAGTGCAAATCATGACCTTAACGCATTTCACAATTTTACAAAACACAGAAAAATACCTTCCTCGAAGAAAAAGTCAAGTGTGTGAAGAAAAAGCAATGTAATTAAGCAGGGAATTTAAATTACAGGGATCTTCTTTCATTAAGAATTGTTTTATAAAACTTGTTTCTAAAAAATGTTTTTTCTGTAATAGGCAATTAACAGCCATAATCAAAATTTATGGATAAAAAATGATACTTTCTATACTGTTTTCATATAATCTGAATGCATACTCTACGCGGAGATTTTAGAAATATTAATTAGAAGTTTAATTGTTACTTTTACTTTTAGATTTTGGATGCAATAATAGAAAATATCCAGTAAATACTAGACATTTTGACATATCTCAAGAACATATGATTTTCTTAATTATTTTGCTTCAATTGCATACAAACAAGTGTAAACATAAATACAAATTCAAAAACTGCATATTTAATATACAGTTCACCGTAGTTGTTGCCGTAAGGCAAAATTTAAGCAAAATTATCCTTTTTTTCATTATTTTTCAAATTAAAATACTTAGCATTACATTTTAAACTGTTTTCACTCATTAATATGCTTATCCTCAAATTAATCTGTTTATAGCTAAAATAAAAACCATTTTTAAAAAAATGGTACCCGAACGAGGTCGGATACCTTTGGTTTGTGCTCTCGTTCTCCATATATTTATAAGTGTACCACTTTGTTAGTAAGATGCAAAATTCTTTTCTCATTAAAAATTTAGTAATTGTGTTGGGTTAAAATATCTGCTGTTCTGTTAAATGTTCATATTCTATCAATCGCATTTTAAACCAAAGTGAGGAATAAATAATCTAGTTGGGGTTAAGTACAAGTCGGCTAGAACACATGCACTATTACTTACATGTATAGTTATTATTACATATGCAAGTATGTCTGTTAGAGTCTGTTACATAGTTAGTAAAAAAAAAAAGTTGACATTATTTTAAGTCATACCAAATTCCATCCGTAAACGAATCTGATTTTAAATGTTGCAGATATTTCGTTAATTTAACGGATACGGACGAGGCATTTAAACAACAAATTATCTGTGCTAACACGGATTGTATGGTAACCCTCAAAATAAAAATACCTTTGAAAATGATAAAGTCTTCAGGAAGCTGATAAAAATGAGATAACTGTAAACGAAACACTTAAATACGTTACAATGAGCAAAAATTTTTTTATTAGAATTTAGAAATGTGAAACTTGAAATTTAACACAAGTTTCTTATAGCAAAGTCCTGTTAAAATTTGTTTGCAAGAATTGGAACAGAAGACGAGAAATTTAAGATAAAAAAAATTAAGACTATTGAGTAAGTATTCTCTGCCTTTACCTACTACTACTTTAATTACAAACTTTTTCGAACATATCTGATATTCGATCTTTCGTGGGAAATGAACAGTTTCAATGGGTATTAATTTCAAATTATTCTACTATATAAGTAGCAGTAAATGGGAGCAAAATTAAATAAATTCGCATGTGTAAATTTATATACTCACTGAATTCATGCGGAGGGCTAAAAATATAATATTTGCAAACTTGAAATTTTTTATAGCCTGGAAAGAAAATTTACTTGAGATGTTTATAGTTTTCAGTAAATGGATTTGGCGCCCTGGCAAAATGAAAAGCATTGCCGCTTGAGGGAAATATTTGTTGTAAGTCTCGTCTTAACGGATCCAATGAAATATATGCGTAGCTTCTTCTTGAATAATTAAATGTTTCCTTTTTAACACATGCTCATAAATTTCTATATGGCGATAATTTTATGATGAAATAGTTGCATACGAAGGTTTCTATTTTAGGTTCTATATTTTGAGTTTCTGAATTCCTAAACTAATTGACATTTCATAACTATTTATCATAACATTATTTTACGTGTTAAACTGGGAATAGTAAAAAAATCATTTCTTTTTTAAATTATGATTTTTATATATAACTTTTTTAAATAGTTTGTTAATTTTTTGAAATTTTAATGATAATCAGTTTGAAGTATTGGTCTGTAATCTGACATTTTCAGATCCCAATTTCACTTTTGTAATACATCGAAGGAAATTTTTTCGCGCTGTTTATTGCTTTCAATTCACCGATTTCATGGACCGGAAAAGTATTACAACTTGATAGAAGATTCGTTGCAAACCGTTTGTGCAAGTGATCTACTGATGTCAGTGCTTAGCAATGAATAGTTAAGTCATTTCTTTACTGCAATTTTCAATAGAAAATTAGGAGGCGATCTGCTGAAAATTTAACTTTTTAATTACATTTCATCAAAATATAATGAAACAAGCTAACCTTCATATCTGCAAGCTACACAGCTATTCAAAATTAAGAGAAGTTTCACATTTGGTCGATTATCTCCAGAAATGATGGGCATATTTTAATGAAATTTGGTACGTGCAACTTATTGATATAATATAAAAAATATATCATATAACATCATGGTATGGACCCTTTATTGCGACTAAGACTCATAGGGCGGGAAGATCTAAAGCAGGGTCTGCAACCTTGTTGCTGTGGTGTGCTAAACCAATCTACCAGTATGACTCAGGGTGCCGCACAGTAGTAAACATTTGAAACAGTTCTATTCCCGCGGTAAAGAATGCAGACATAGAATATATAGGACAAGAATACAGATTTATAGTTTTATTATATATTAATTATGTATCGTTTAAAGATGTTTGTTAACATAAAAATAAAAAAAGGTAAAATATAACTTTTCCTTCAATGTAAATAAAAAATTAAAATTATACATATATTATGTACTCTTTAAACATATTTACTGAAATAAAAGAAGCGACATAAAATTTAAGTATTTCTTCAATATAGTTAAATCAAAAATTAAAATTTTAATGCGAACCTTGTACCTGTACTATTTGATATCGCAATATCAGCGATAATTTGTGACTTTCAATTAGACGTATGATTCTGAATATTTAGCTGTTAAATAACTTCTTTATAGACTCAAAATATTTTTCACTTGAAAAATGATTTAGTCATTAGTATCATTTATAGATATGTGGAAACAAAGGCGGAAAGCAGAGCACTTGCAATTTTCTCCAAACAATTAAATCTGTCTCACACTTGACATCCAGCAATTTAAAAAAGCTGTCGATTCATCGTTAGAGTTATCTTCCAGATTTAATCGTAATTCATAAATTTTGCTTTCCATAATTCTGAAGTTGTTAGTTTCATAAATTCTATTTCAAAATTCTCAACTTCCATTCACTTAAAAATTGACAAATCTGATGGGATTATTAATGAGTCTATTGTTTTATATAGGTATTTTGAGACAAGATCGGACTTTTTCTGAAATGGCATGCCAATTGTTTTCCATATTTTGATTCTAGGACTCAAATTGTGCCTATATGTTAAATTTTGTAAATTTTGGTGCGAAATTTAAGGTGACATTCAAAAATTTATCTTGGTGCATTTTTTTTTTTTTTTTTTTCCAGTTTGAGCCAGAAATTGGGGAATTTTTTAATTTGTAGCAACCTATTTTCCTTTCCTTTAGTGCGTAAACCACATTTGGCGTTATTATACGCTTATAACAAATACGCCAAATTTCAAAAAGCGTCAATATGTAATTTCACGTATATCTTCAGAAGTTTTGAATAAAAAATTCTAATTTTTTGCAGGCGTGGCCAGAAACACATCTACTTTAAGTGTATGTAAAAAATTTTGTAGTTAGTAATATAAAATGTTTTTTCGAAAAATTTATAAAAATTTTTTTAAAATACAAATTTTAAAAATAAATCATAAAAATATGTGTGAATTTTATTTGGAATGAATCTAAATTTCGAAATGTCAAAGGAAGAATAAAAAATGTTTAATTAAAAAAAAAAAGAAATTATATACTAAATTAACATGGAGGAGCTAAAAATTTTGAGAGCTAATTTTTTAAAAACTCCCCGTGCGATTTTTACAAAACTTAGCAATCTGGCTTAACTTGAGTCGTAGAATCGAAACATGGAAAAAATTGGCATGTCATTTCAGAAAAAGTCCGATTTTGTGTCAAGCTACATATATTAGGACAATGCTAAATAATACGTATCCTAAGTTGCGCTTTCGAGACATGGAAAAGGCAATTTGAATTTCGTCAATTGGCCCTGGTAGAATGGGAGATATAGACCTGTCCCTTTTTTTGCGGGGGGCAGTGTACATATACATATACCCACTTCTGTTACTCGGCTCCGTGAGCTCTCTCTTTTTTATTTATTTATTTATTTTTTTTATTCTTATATGTTGGTAAATTGTGCATTTTTGCTTTAAAAATGATTGAATTATGTTGCTCTTATATTCCGGTTAGGGTTTTTATACCTAATTAATCTGCATACAATATTTGTAGAATTATGAACAATTTAGAAATTGTTAAGTGTGGCTAAGCCTAATATTTTATCCAAATTTGACGGAATTAAAAGTAGTTCAATTTCATGGGAATCAGGTTTTATCAATAACCGTGTTTCTTTTACCATACTTTCTAATTAGCCCATGTTTACATAAAGCCGTTGCATAAAAAGTAATAATTATAAGAATAAGATGGCTTTTAATTTGTAAAATATGCATTGCTAGCTATAGCTGGCATTTCATTTGCTCTATTTTTTATTTCGCAAAAGCAAATTGCTTCTTTTAAATTAGATAAGCATAGTCTGCATTTATTTTCTTGTTTGTTTATTTTTCTTTTAGCAGCGGAAGGGCAGCTGTTTCTCCGTAGCGAATTGGTTTACCATTTAGGAATGCATCTAGGTACATTTCTAATCCCCTTGTGGTTCTTGCTGTTTGACAGCACAGTGGAAGGCGCGGGTATATTATTGAACGAGAAATACATTAGTGGGGATAACAAAAATGAAACTGCAGCCATACAGTTTCTCCAGCAACATGATATACGATTAAGGAAGATGCTAAACAAACAGACCCATGCAAGCTGGAATTATGCGAGCAACCTTACTGAAGCAAATAAAAAAACTATGGTAAGATTTTTGATTATGTTAATAAGCAAAGAGAATCTTTAGCTTTGAATACGTAATTAATCATCATTCTCCCGTTCATTATTTGATTTGATTTGCTTTAAATGTAACATTGAAGGTTTCCTAAATGCTCGATTTGATACTAGCGTTTCTAAAAAGTTCTAATTTGAAAACAACTCAATAGCGAAAGGACAGTTTGATGGAAAGAAATATAAATGTATTTTGCATCTAATTCCGTTTGGCTGTGATTTGTTGTTTTCAGACACAAAATTTCTTCATTTAATAATTATTTTTTCCTGATCATAACAGAAAATAAATAATTAACTGACAGAATATTTTAACTGCCTAATTTCATAACAACAGTACACTCATCAAGCAGAATTATGCAACCTACTTTTATCGTTCCAGTGGCCATTAATGCATATTTTTTAAATAAAATTCATTATCAGAGTCTTTAACTTGAATTATGTTAAATGCTAACATTATATTAAGTTACTTTTAAAACTTTCTCACAAATTTCTTAACTATTTGTTTTAGCCACAGTATTTTTCTATCGACTTTATTCAACTGCTTTAAAGTAGCCAAAAATATGGCTACTGGTTTGAAGTAAATGTTGCATGTTATACATATAGTACGAGGAAATGGTCAATGATATATTAAATTAGAAACTTCACTTTCTTCATTTCAGATAAGATGTAAAACGATATTTTTCTCGAATTATGTCTTAAATTAAGATATTACTGAACGTATACCAATAAATTACATTTGCCACATGGGGATCTGCATTTGGAGTCATACTAGCTTTAATTCATCATTGTTTATATCACTTTGAACAATGATCATCTTTAGCCAGATCTTGCCCAGAGTAATCACAAGGCCGTGAGAATAGAGAAACATAATTTTAACGTAGCATTTCTGCTGTTGATTGTGGGAAGTGGAGAAAACGGCCGTTTATAATGAATAGTAAACAGATAGCAAGTTGAAGCAATAAAATGAATCTGGTTGGCAATGCTGTGTATTTGTTCTCCAGTTCTTAAGTTTTTAATGATACTATTTCATTTCCTCTAGCCATGAAACTGTAATCATATGATTCAATAAAAAATGTAATCATATTTCGAAATTTCCTTGTAACTCTTTTCTATTTAATAAAAGTCAAATCTCATTCACATAAAAGTATTTAATAAGTCTGCATCATATTGTTTTTGCAAAAACTAAAGCATATATTGAACGTTAAGCAAATAGGAAAATTTTGAGAGGAATATCCTGCAATAGGATGCAGAAAATTTCAAATTATGAAACTTATTTCAATAGAAACAACTAAAACAGATGCTCTTACAGTCTAAAAAGAAGACACATACGTAATTACCATTTAAACCATTCAGCTTCTATATTTTTACAATATAACAGGTGCTATTATACTTCTTGGAATGAGCTTATTTAATGTTATAGTGTAGAAGATATGGTGTTATTTATACCTTCCTTGGACGAATATCACAATTATTTAGGAAACGTCTCAGTTCCAGAAACTTCTTTAAAGCCAACTAGTCGCTTTACTACTATTTGCAATTCTTTCGGACTCAGTTTTACAGCTGAAGGCTTAATAATAAATTTTAACAGTGACTTGTTACAGTGATATGGGATCTCCATCAAAGAGCTTTTCCTGAAAGATTGCTTACTTTATTTTCTACTTTCATTGTTGGCTGAATATAGAAGGATCAGATGCGAAGTACGTTGAATCAGGCTCCTGGGCTGATAAGTCTCATCCTGCGTATAAAGCTGTATAATTTCCCTACCATAACGTGGCATAGTTCTTAAATGAGAATAAATCTCGTGATAAGCCGTGATGAGCCTTGCAGATATACGTGACGTCGAGTCAGTTACTTCAAATGTCTGGAGGTGTTGTCAAGCAATAATGTGATGGCAATAATCGTAACAAGGCATAACTCAGTTGCCGCATGCTATTGCCACGGCTGCTGGGCTAAATATAGAAATTAATCCACTAGTACTGTTATGTCGCGAATTTTAATTACTATTATGTGTTTTAAGTTATTATTATTCTAATATTTTTATTTGGATTCATGTATATTTTAATCTGGAAAAAAAGTATTCTTAAATTGTTAAAGCCTTATTTAACTGGTAGTTCTTGAAAGTGTAGTGTACAACGACAGGAACGGTTGCAAGAGCCATCTGTTTATTGTTTATGGGCCTTTTTTAACAACGGGCAGTAGGGTGTGTGTTGTCGCCTGTTAATGGCATTTTAAACGAATATCGTCTTCCTTTCCTTTTTGTTTTCATTTGTCTACTTCAACAGTGGTTGAACTAAGCTGGGTAATTGGATTCTCGTAAGCTTAGTCCGCTTGTTAGTTGGGGGGGTGTTTTCTCACGTTGTGTGTATAGATGTTTTTCGGACTGCATTTCAATTTTCTGGTGTTTGATTCGTCATGGGTAGTCATTTCCTCATTTAGATAACGTAAAATTCCGGCATTGGTGTGATATTAATTTTATGATTTTTGAAAGCCTATGAACTCACAGAGGCTAAGAAACCGAGATTTCCTGGGTGCTTGCACCAGGCTAGAGTTCATATTTCTGATTCTCATTTTCAAGCTAAGATGAAGAGGAGAAAAGAGTGGGGGCTTGACCCTTGCGGGTCTTGCTCTCGCTAGCGGCGTGTACCAGGGCTCCGGTTATGGTTTTTTCCTTGGAGTCTGATATAGAATGATTTTGAGCAGCCGCGATGTGAAGTTCGAGTGGTGTTTGCCCTGTGACCGATTTGCCGTGCTGCGGGCTGCTTGAGCAAGAGGGTTTGAGCTGCGCTTTCTTTTTTCCAGAAGAGGCATTTTTTCTGCGAGATGATTAAAAATTTTGTAATAGATATAAAGAGCAATTTACTACAGATTTTCCCTCTTCACCCGAATCTCCAGAATCCTTCGAACGAAATTTGACATTCCCGAGTGAAATGTCTGACACTTGGAATTTCAAACAGAAGTATGTCATTAGTATCCGTAACCGAGGTCCAACACTAAACATTCCCAATAGAAGTATTTGTTATTACTTCCGGCACCTGTGTTTCCTGACATCTAGACGTTCCCACAGAAATAATCCTGAGAACGAACTTTTCCCTGTTCTGCAGTTAGTTTTTAAAGGACTTCACCCTGTTTCCAGATATTCTTTTGCAGAATGAACTTCTGCGCGAGTGTTTGTTTATTAACTGATCAAGGTGTTGGCTCAAGAAATAGACTTCCTCCGTGAAAAAATTGGACACTTCCCTCAAGATTATATTCTGGAAAATCTGTGATGATTTTGAAATTTGTCTACCTCTCTATCTTTTCAATACTTAAACGAAAATATTTATTTATATATGTAAACTACTAATGATTAGAATTTTGAATAATGCCCAATTAATTTAAGTCTGTAAATGAAGGTTTAAAGGTTTGTTTTACCCGCTTAATTAGTGAGCTTTGAATGTCACAAATAGTAAACGGACCAAATTAATATGAAATATGTTATTTGGAATGAGATATGTGTTATTTTTTCTTAAGGTATATTAATTTTTGTAAGTTGTAACGCTTAACATTATGTGTTTAGTAAATATGTCGTAGGATTACTGATTAGTTATCCTTATTTAGTAATATAAATATTCTAGAATTTAATAATGTGTTTAAAATTTATTGCATTTGTGTATTTATCTTGTGTGTAATTTGCTTGGTCTGTCATGTCCCCCATTTTTTGACCTGGGAGGCTTTTTAAAAATAATGGAGTTTATTATTGGGGTTTTTTTTTCCCCAGTGGGCTTCACAACGCGCCCTTGTACTAAACCAATACCACTATACGATTGATAGATATGATATACGATTGTTTATTCGATTGATCTTTTAATTATTATGAATTAGATTGATTTTGAATTATTTGATATTTTGAGTATTTTGTCCGGCACCATAAGTGAGTCAAAGTTCAAAATTAAAAAAGTATTAAAACACCATTAATTTTAGATATTCAACAGTACGCAAAGAAGCATAATTCTTTCTGTTTGCATTATTGGGTGCAAATGTGTTATAAATTTATTGCAGATTTCAATTATTCATTTTAAATTTAGGTTATTGAAAATAATGCAAAGAGAAAGTAAATAATTGAAAGTGAGCAGTAGAACATATTAGAAACTCCTTCTTTTTAAGCATCTCGATGATCTCACACAGCTGCGGGTCTCAAAGCCGAAACAGAAGCATTTGATATAAAAAGGGTATAATTGTAAAATATCAAAACTTCAGTTATGTGTAATAAAATGCATTTGTCTTCTTTAGAAATCTAAGTAATTAAAAATTGAGCTTAAAATATCCTGTGACCCAGTAGCCATATTTTAAATGTTCGTCAGCTACATGTGGCTACTGGCGACTGTATTAGGCAACAAAGAATCTTGTCAGTCTTGCTAAAGGTCTGCACCATTGAATGGTAGTTATATATTGAAATTTAGAATAAATAATTATATAGTTATATTTCTCTCGAGTCCTTTTATGCTCCCTTTCTTCCCCTACTTTGCTGATTCCTTGCAGATGACCAAATTTGTTTTTGCGGTGGATCATTTTTTTTCAATCAAAAGCAAAGCTATATGTATTTTAAGTTTATAAGTTTCTATTAGTTTATGTTTATTTGATATTAAAATATTTTCAATCCCCTCTTTTCACACGAAATACATTTCTGAAAATACATACAAGACAACTCTTTGTAGAGACCATTAGGCATTTTATTTCGGAGCAGGAGACGTGAAAAAATCTTGCAATGGCCTCGCTGGGATTCAAGCTACTCACCTACTGATTGCCATCTGCTTTCCAGTGATACCACGAAGAATTGCGGTTAAGGCGAGAAAAACCTTACAACATGATATGCATGACTTCTTTCCTCCCTTGAGTGCAATAAAAATAATTGTCGCGTAAACTTGTACATAGAGTGGTTTACAACGGTAAAATGCATATATCAACTAAAACTGCGGTAAACATATACAAACTAAAATTAGCCTACAGCGTAACATACATAACGCAGTTTTAGTATTTAGTTTTCATTTACACATATATAAACCGAAACTAAATAATAAAACTGTGGTTGCAATTACAGCCAGATGGTACATTATATTATTCGAACGTTATGAAAATATTTATATCGATTTCACTGGGCCCACAAGTGGCCGAGCGGTAAAGTCGTTGAACACTGGTAGTTCGGTCAAGGGCTCGAATTCCGGTGAACGGGATGGCTGCATGGACACTTTCGTGGTTGTTCCCCATGTGTAAAGTTCATACGAGCCAGCTGCTCTTATAAAGTCTTCTACGAATGCATCCCTCAGGCAGATAGCCCTCGAGTGCTTTGCCGACCAAACAAGCTCAATTTCACACTATCTTACATATTTACATAACCTAAGAAATACCTACGAGGATTGTTTCCACTGCATTCGATTAAATTTTTTAATGTGTTAGATTATAAATAACAATTTATTTATTTTATTTTTTTTTAATTTAAGGAAATTTTTTGGATACTTAAAAGGCCCCCACTAAAATGTTTCATGACCCGCCTTGATTGTATTGTAAGCGAATCATAAGTGATTTAAATTTTTCTTTCTAGTTTGATATTCAAGCAAAGTCTCATTATTTAAACAATTTCCTTACTATACATTAATTGTTTTTTAGCTAAAAGTAGAGCTGGAAGCAGCAGAATTCACCAAAGAGTCGTGGAAAAATGCGACTTCATTTGCATGGAAAGATTTTAGAAATAAAAATGAAACAGTATACAGATGGTTTAAGAAACTTTCAGTCCTTGGTTATAGTGCTTTGCCTCCAGAAGACTTCAAAGAAGTAAGTTTTAGAACATTCGGATTTGTTTCATAACCGTAATTAAATGTAATTTCATAACCGTAATTAAATATAATTAAATTAAATTAAATATAATTTAATTGCATTTGTGTATTTATCTTGTGTGTAATTTACTGTGGTCTGTTATGTCCCTCCATTTGTTTGAGCGGGAGGCTTTTAAGAAATATGGAGTTTTATTGAATTGGGGTTATTGATTTTTCCCTAGTGGGCTTCACAACGCGCCCTTGTACTAAACCAATACCACTATACGATTGATAGAGATGATATACGATTGTTTATTAGATTGATCTTTTAATTATTATGAATTAGATTGATTTTGAATTATTTGATATTTTGAGTATTTTGTCCGGCACCATAAGTGAGTCAAAGTTCAAAATTAAAAAAGTATTAAAACACCATTAAAACACTATCCAGCAATTATTTTTCTCTTTTTGTAAATCAGTTATAGTTACAGTAGATTAGTTACCGATTATAACAAAGCAAGCTAGGGCTTTACATAGGGAAGGGACACTTTCATAAGAAAACTAGCTTTTACTAAGCTTCTCGTAAGCCAGGATAGAATTTATTGATTCTGAAAGCTTCATATTTGATTATTGGATTCTTTTCGCCTCATATTTTTCTCTGAACTTTCCCAAAAATTAATTTCACACACACAAAAAAAAAAAAAAAAAAAAAAAAAAAAAAAATAGAAACTCTTCTCTGACAACAAAAAGCTTTGTCTATTAGGAACATTTCTAACTTCTTTATAAATATTTAATTGCAAAACCTTTGTCTTTAAAGATTGCATTACTTCTTTGTGGCATTAAGTTTGCTACTTTTTGACAATTTTCGATGGAAATAGAACGCCGCGTATCTTGTACAATTCTCCAAAGCTCTTTAAATTTGTTAATGATTTTTTTTGTATTTTATCTTTTAATTCATGCCATATGCTCTGAAATGGATTAAGGTGGCGTGACAGGTCATCAATGCTATTTCGTTCGAACCAGCTTTTTTTCGCCAGGTTTCCTGAATGCTTCAAATCATTATCTTATCAACAGTGCCATTACAATGGCATGTTATCTTCTGCGGATGGTCATACTGTCTCTAAGATATCTGCCTACATCACTTTTGGTCATGTTATCTATAATGCGAAAAATTGGGTCTATGCCATTCCACGAGATACAACCATAAAACATAAAATTGCGATCTTTATCTTTAATTTTAAGCTAATCTTTAAGTTGGTTTTCCTTTCCATATTATTCACCTACAAAAAGCAATTATTTGGTGAGACATTTTACAGTTAAAAAAACGGAATGACGCATTTTATAAATAATTATTTTTTTAAAAAGAGATATGGATTGGATTATGGATTATTCATTTATGGCAAAGCACACGAGGGCTATCTGCCTAAAGGGAGGGATGCCTTCGTGGAGGACTTTCTAATTAAAAGAGATAAGCATTACTTCATTTTAAATATAATGAATATTGGGTTTTTCAAACAGAATATTATGATACGAAAACACTGCAATAGTCCATGACAATTCTTACCGAATCAATAAATTATATTTCTAGAGCCTGAATACATAAATTAAGAAAGTTCAACAGATTTTACTCTTAAATTTGGAAAAAAAGAGAGAAGCCCCCCCCCGCCGCATAGCTGTAAGTAATGGAATTTATCTAAAAAAATCGAGTTCATAACTTTTAATCTATAGAGTTGAATTTTACTGAAGTTTAGGCATAAAATAAGTATTGTTTGCCTCTAAACGCAAAGACTTTAATGTAGCAAAACAATTAAATAATATATTCAAATCATCATAGCAAAGCATGCAGATTTTTATGATTTTAGCGTGGTCTGTATTAAGTATCTGTATATATATGTGCATATGTATTTTCAGTTTTACATATTAATTATGGTAAGAATAATAATATCTATCACACATTATCGGTGTATAATTATTTTGTATTAAAGCAATAAACAATTAGAAATTATAGAAATCATTCTAATAAATATTTATTTTTTGGTTACTGTTGTCTAGTCTTATATCTAATAATTTCATAAATTAAGAAGATTATACACACACATTGTTAATTTGAAGCATAATTGATACACACATTGTTAATTTGAACGCATAATTGATACACACATTGTTAATTTAAAGTGCCTAAAATTCTGATTGACCGGAAAAGTTTCTTAACCATTTTTCTCCTCTTCTCTGTTTCTAGCTGAGTGAGATTGTTGCTGATATGCAGGATATCTACAGCAGAGCGAAAATTTGCAACTATAAATCACCAGCTAAAAAGGATTGCAATTTGTCTTTGGAACCAGGTAAAAATTTATGGTATATTTGACATGCTATATAATTAAGGCTTTAGATATAGAATGATAAATACGCTTTTTGATTAGCAAAAATTTAAAAATATTTTTTTGCGTTCATTAAAAAGATCGAAATCCGGGTTTTTCAAATTTTCTATTTAATTTAGTTATGAGTAATTATCACAGTTGGATGCTCAATAGGATCTTTATGATTCCCGTTGTTTGTAAAATTTTCTTTTTAACATTAGAAAACTACATAATCACATCCATTTGTCAACTTCGGGAATCGGATTTTGAGCAAACTGAAGACTTAACAGTTATACCGTAGAAAACTCGATTCAGGCTTTGTGAAGAATAATTGCCGGCTTTAATCAAGAATGTGCTTACAATAATTGTTGCATTTATTGTAGAATGTGATTAGTGAGTTTTGAAAAACAAAGACACAGAGCTTCATATTCATATGTATGCTAAGCCAAAAACGGTTTTTCTAGCTGCACTGAATACGGAAAACAGAGTTCTTTCTGATATAAAATGGTAGGTGGTAGATTAATTACCAACAGGTAAAAAAATCTCAAAATTAGTTCTCTTATCTGTGATTCACTGTGCAAGCTGTTAATCTGTGTGTAAAATGTTTAACTTCAGTTTCATAGTCATAAGGCTGATGACTTTAATATCCAGTTAAATCTACTTTAAATCCCACATTTGATTGTTAATTATTATCGACAGTATATGTTACTGAAACACAGATAAAAAATATACATTTCTCAAGTTTATTTATTTCTTATATCTATATATGCCCACAAAAGTCCTTTCTCTTAGCCTTTATTTCCGTAATCGCTCGTCATAGCTTCCAGTTATAAAAATATTTCAAATGATGCAAATATTTATGTTTTAGGATTTTTAAATTTAAAAATATACACACAATTTTTGTTTTTGTATTACACACAAAAAAACTACACACATATTGCTACAAAACACACACACATAATGCTACAAAATAAAATATTACACACACGTTGTTAAGGGACGTACAAAAGACGCAGAACTAAATGCTTGCATTTGTTCGTAACTAAAAATGAAAAATTAGTTTAAAAAAAGGTTTTTGATGTTAATGACTTAAGTGATGAGAGTTGGTTATATGTAGATTTTCATAAAAATTATTGATCAACGTAATTTTCCTTTTTTTTTTTTTAAGATCTTATTTACACAATTTTACAGAAATCATATTCTAGAAAACATGGTAAACTTCGGCACTGGCACACAGCTAATGCGTAACTACTTTGAAAGAATTAAATATTTTAAATGTCTCTAGTTGAATTAACTGTTTTGTACTCGTATTATTAGGTAATGATTCTTAAGTATTAAAACAGCGTTTAGAAACTTACAGACTTGCTTGAAAATTATTTCGGTACACCAATTGTAACAAAATTATAAATTAAGAAATGTTACACACGCTAGTAAATAACAAAAGAATATCATTGAATGCCATTTAAAGGAAAAATCAACTTCGAATTAATTCAAATTTATTCATTAACTGACCCTACACTTCAAATTGGAAATGACGTTAAGTATCTCATGCTTTGGACTTAAATACCTCTTTCAACTGCTTTTGAACGGGGTCAAACTTTTTGTCTTTTATTTTTTATAATTAATTTTAAATTTCCTTAAATATAAGTATGGAGAATAGAGAATCGTATAAAAAGACAGATTTCGCATTTTTTTAATTGATATTTTTCAATTTGTAAATGACAAAATATGAACATTTGCGTAATTTAAACGCTTATTAATTTATATTGTAAAGCTAGGACCAATGGCCGGATAATGAGAAAATAAAACTCGAATAGGTTCTTTTGTGCGGGCAGTGTATATATTCATTTGATTATTTTATATATAGTGAACTTATTATATGTACAACATTTTTATCATTATAAAACTATCAGCTTCTGTATGGAGTGATGAATTTCCAAAATTGGAATACAGCTTATGTTATCTAATTTATGTTCCACGATGCAAATTTTCTTATCAGATTATTTTTGCCATTTCGGTAAAACATTAAGTAAATATTCAATACTAAACAATAAGTTAAATCGTCTTAAATATTTTTTCAAAACCCACTCACTCGAGTACAGTGACTGAACTCACTCCAGTGCAGCCCTCGAGTACTGAACTCACTCGAGTGCAGTGACTCAAAGAATAAATTAAAATCCAGAGCTATATGCAATTTTAAAATAAAGCATATCCTAGTTGAAAGAGCTGCTGTAAAACTGGTATTGATGCAAATTCTAAATATTGAGCAATGTTAAAATTATTGCTCTTTATGTAAATTAAAAACAACATAGTTCACTTTATGAATAAAATATATTCCTTCTAAACCTACAAAAAAAAAAAAAAAAAAGAATGTTTTGCCAAGAGTCATTGATAATGGAAGTAACTAATGTTTTTGCTCATACCGCATATGATTTAATATTCAAGGCGTTGTAAGCTATCGAAGAGTTGGAACATGCACTGTAAGGCTAACGTCTCTGTAAAGAATTCTTATTGTGAGAAAAAAAAGCGTTAGTCATGAGATGTGAAATTCATTGGTAAAGCTATGGTATTATTTATTATCTAAACAAAAATACGAAAGAGGTAACATATATTAGGTATCTCTCAATAACGTAAGATTGCTGTAATCCAAGTTATGATGATAATTCTTTCAACTACGAAACATGTATCATTGAGGATAGCAGTAAGTCATTTGTATCATTTTGAATTTCAGAATTCATTTATACACCTGAATCACTAACTAACTTTTGTCAGTTTGTGATTAAAGTGTATAAATGAATACTGCTTTATCCTGTTTTCTAAAGAGATTTTATGCGTTGCTTAAGAAAGTTTTAGGACTATACCATATCTACTCGTATGTCTCCCCTTTTTTAAGTATTTTTACTTCTGAAATCGAGAAGAGAAAATTATCCGACGCATATTATTTCTGAGGGAAGGCTTAAATGAAGTGCATGAAAGATATGAATAGACATGCAAATATGACTGTCTTTGAGTATGTCTTTGAGTATTCCAAAGATATCAATACTTACATTAATTTCAGTAATATTTTTTTTTATATAGACAATGTTGTGCGTGCATCTGTATCTGCATCTGTTTTACACTATTATCACAATATAGAATTTCTTAAATCATTTGCGGAAAATGGGGCAGGGAAATACATGTGAGAAAGAAATATGAGAGTAAATATCATATTCCAGACTAAATGTAAACGGAACAGTCCTAATGTTGTTTCAGTTGCAGATTATTCATAATATCGTTACTAATGCAATCTGTTCTATTTACGTAATTTCTATAAATACAATTTTAAACATATTTCAAAATTAAGAACCTTTAATTTATTTTCAGAATTGACAGAAATTTTAGCAACCTCTACAGATTACGATGAACTGAAGCACGTTTGGTCGGGATGGAGAAATGCAACAGGAAGGAAAATGAAGGACAAATACGTTAAATATGTGAAATTATCCAATAAAGCTTCTCGCCTTAATGGTAATTATTAATCATATTTTTTGAACTCATAGAACATAAATTTACAAGAGGGCAATATTCGACGGAATTTTCTGCTAAGCTGAGTTCTATTGCTCATCTTGCCAAGAGATTTATAACTAAACCTTAAAATATTGAAACTGAAGACTAACTGTTTTTTAATATTAATTAACAATTTTAGCTTTTATTTTAAAACATCAAGTGATCTGAGACCAGAAATTCAGAAATTGATTGTCATATATTAGGTAATTACTTCAAGAAATCTTTAGCAAAGTATAAGATTCAAGATCTTTTAGTTCTTTTCAGTCACTGTGATAGGTATTTCATGATTTTAACGAATTTCCTCATTTATGATTCGATATGCTATCTGCCTAAGCAGAAGGATGCCTTCGTGTAGGACTTTCTAAGGAAAACTGGCTCATATACATGTTACACATGGGGAAAACCACGAAAATTCTCATGCAGCCAGCCCGTTTGTGGAATTCGAACCTCGGATCGAACTACCAGTGTTTAACGCTCGGTTGTTGGTGGGCCTGATTTTAGCCAAGTTAGAGGATTCTAACATCTTTCTCAGTAATGTGCATCCTGATTACGAGCAAGACAGGAGAGGGGAAAATTCCTTGAAATATTCCAAGTTATTTAATAACAAGTTAAGCAAAAAACTAAGGCCACGGACGACCTTGATCAGAAATACTATTAATTGCTACCGTATTTAAATGCGATTCCAGATTCTTAAAATCCCGTTTTGGGAAATATCTAATTCTCTGAAGACGTCCAATCGCTTTTAACTCCCCTTGAGTCCACAGACCGCTTGCAATTCCGTGTAAATAATGTCTCTCAGACATAAAAAACAATATCTGGTTACTTACAAATTTGCCACTTTCAGTTTACCAAGGGATAGGTTGTTGTTGACTTTTCCGCTTTACATGGAACAATGGTTGCCAAAGCCTATGCCTAAAAGAGGTTGGACTTCTATTTTCCACCCCCAATTTTGAGGAAGAGCATCCCGGGGGAAATCCGGGGTCTCCCACTCTTCTTCCCTTCCACCAATCCACACGAGAGGACTTTCGGCTCACCGCATATTTAGAGTGCCGCCATGCCGCACCGACACTATACATTTACAAACATGCATGTCTTCTCTGGGATTCGAACCCAGGTCCTTCGGTACTGTAGTAGGCTTCCCTAACCCCTATACCATCTGGGGGATAGATATAGGTGTGATACTGAACTGAACCTTTTTATGATTTGTTTGTGTTTATTTTATTTGCATATTCTGTGCAAAAATACCTGTGCAGAATTAGGTTTTTGTATTTAACAGCATATAATTAACAAAAATAATAATTACACGGAGTAGAAACTTAATCATTGTTTAATTACTTTTAAAGCTACAGTTTAATTTTAAGCATTGTTGTAATACACAAATAGATCATAAATATCATCATTATGTACATTATGTACGGATGTAACTTTTATCCAAAAGCAATGCATGAATTCTAAAAACAAAGTTATGCATTAAAACCTATGTTTATTAGCTTTAATATTATCTGTTTTTCAAGAAATTTGTATTTTAGATCCCTTTACAACAGTACTTCTAGCAGAGGAAAGGGTGCAACTAATTTATTTTGAATTTTGTTCCATGCCTTAATAGAAAGCAACAATACAGCTATATCCACCGATGTTTGATATTTATGTAAAATTATCAAATACATATTAGATGAAAATTTATAGTTTTTCAATGAAATTTATCTCGAAGTTTAAATTTTTAAATCAATACAGACTTTAATTCAAAAAGTTGATATATACAACAACAGTGACCTAAAGAGCAACTTCCGACCTAAGCTAGCCTAAAGGCAACAAACGGAATATATTACTCAGAGGTAAAACCATCTACTATCTACTAGCCACAACCTTAGGTCGGGGCCAAAACAGATCAGTCGGGCAGTAATTGTCAAAGTCAAATTTCAAAGTTTAAATTTGTATAATATACAGAGTTATTTGGATATATTGCATACGTTGAAGAAATACATCTGAAGTTATTATATTAAGATTTTCCAGAATAGTTAAGACAGGAATTGACACAGTAACAAACATGGTAACAATAAATGCAAAATTTTTAAAGTAGAAGACCATATATAAATGTCAGTCATATATAATAGAAAAACACAAGTAAATGGACAATAAGGATCAACACGCCGTTCAGAATCTGCACGCTATTGAAATGAAGTATATAGTCATGAAAGAATCAGTTCTGATCTCTAGAGTCCAAATTTAAGTGTAAATGAACATATTTTATGTTCCATAGTCAGTACTAAATGTTTTGCCAAAGCAAAGTATTGTGCAGTTCATGCAAGATTCAAGTCATATAACTCAGCGGTACTGGAATTTGTACTAAATCATAGTAATAAAATCCAAACGTTCAATCAAGAAGTTTGTGATTCCAGTACAATTAACAGTTGTCATATAATTGTAAATGTTCATACCAGATATACACAATATAGAACAAACATTATGTTTCCATACTTGGTCATAAATGTGCCAGGAGAAAAAACTATGAGTAAAATTATATGTTAATATACACAAAAACAGATATCATAATACTGAGTGACATGCATTCATGACTTTGAACAAAAGATTACTTTCAGATACAACTAAGTATGTGCTGTACACTTTATGCTGTTGCTTTTGAATGAAAAAAAAGTGCCATAACGTTTGATGTTACAGTTACTAAAAGTACAATTGTATTATTTCGTAGGTATGTCATTCCAGATATTCACTGGTTCATATAAGCCAAAACAAAATTTGATTATGCACAGATTCAAACACTACATATTATTACACATTATTACATTTGAATTCAAAACCTAGTTAATAATGCAAGTAAGAGATATATATTATACTGGTTCAAATACGTACAATATTACTTATTTCATATAAAACTTACTAAGTACAATAAATTACCCAAAACATATTACATATTGTTACATAATGCTCAATATAATTACATGTTGCATATTATCATTGTAAATACAAAAGACAGATCATAACCCAATACATTTAAAAACAAAATGCTTGTTACAAGTCAATACACAGAAAGAAAGGGAATAATCAATAAACAAATTTAATAAATACTCTCATTCATAGATAATGAAATACTGTCTAGAGTGAAGTGTCAAGGTCTAAAAGTTTCTAGAGACATTGAATAAGGAAAAAAGATAATTTAAATCAGCTTTACTAGATAACTTGAAACTTTTCACACACGCATGATCATCTGTTATTCAGCAGATCTCTACCGCTATAATCTTATCTTGAAATTTGCTGTCCGAAATCCGCATAAAAATTTAAAACTCTCATAATTATATCTACAATAACTGCTTAATAGCTAGATTACTGATAAAAAAAACAAGTAATTTTTGTTTAAAAAAATTTAATCGGCTCAAAATGGCTTTAATTTAAATACGCAGTGATTAGTCTTTTTTTAAGTCTATCTGTTTTCAGAATAGTTAAGCTTACTTTGTCGTCTTAATTAATTTTTAGTTAAATTATGAATCCATTATACATTCTTTAATTAAATAAATAATTCGTAATTATTAATATTAACTGAAACCAGTTGCTACAATCTTTCTGTAAACCGAAAAATGTTTCAGATGTAAAACAATTGCCTGGCATACTTTTTTCTTCTCTAAACGCTTTAAGTGTAAAAGGAATTATGTTGATAATGCTACGTATTATTTCAGGTCTACGTATTATTTTAGTCTTTCGGGTCTCTTACACTCATTTCTGATTTTTCTGTCATCGAGGCGATAACTGAAATTTTACGGATATGGAGCACGATAAATTAAACAATAATGCTGAAATAAAATAAAATTAATTGCTTCGTTATAAAGATAGAAAGCGAAATCAAGCTTCAAGGTACTGAGAAGCAATTGCAGATTAAACATCTTTCGAGCCAAAGGATAATTTCAGTGCACTACAAGTGCAATATCTGGCATCTTCAGTATATGATTATAAAATGGTTCTACATGTATAAAATTAAATTTTTGCGCTAATGCTGCAGAAAGATTTAGAATAGTTCTTAAAGATGAACGATGGCTTGAAAAATGTCTCCCAGCTGTGTCCAATCCAAATTCATTCAATGTTCAGGAATTCAGGTACATTACATGCTTCCATATTCGTTTGTATGTCTAAGTTGTTGGCCATTTAAGCAGAATAGAATCACGACAATATAGTTAGCATGTGTGTTGTCATCAATAACACAAATTTAGGTCCTATTGGTAACTCTAAATACTTATGCTTATTTTTGAACCTGCAAATTCCGACAGCTCTGCCTATCGCACTTTTTACCTAAATGTACAAAATGTGACTTAAGTGTACTTAAATGTGAATGTGCTGCTCGACTCAACGTACTCAACTAGAATACCGCCGCCACCAAAATTATGCTATTCAAGTATAATGGAATTTCTGGTACCTTGCATAATGAAGCCGCGAGATGAATAATCACTGTTAAAATTAAACAGAATTCGTCAGTAAACATAGTGCAGGTTCGTCCATCACCGGTATGAATGCAACATTATTTATAATATAGTACTGTGTCTTATAATAAGACACAGTAGAGGGTTGTAGATGTTTTCACGGTAATACAAGCGTGTTCCCTAAATCGTGTTTACGCAGTATCACTAGAACTTTAAGTTTCCTGTGGAACTTGACAGATTTCTGGCAAAGTCTGCTATGTTACTTTTCACGGTCTGCAATTACTGACATAAAACTATCTTGTTGCGGTACTGTAATGAACTCTGCAGTGAAATCTTTACCTGTATTTCTTCCTTGCTGTATGATTATGCAACATTCTCAGACAAATGACACGCTTTGAAATCTAGCGAATTTGTATTCTCTAAAAGCTATAAATCATCTAAAAAATTTTAAATGTTTTTGTAGTCTAGATATTCAGATTTCGTGCAAGCGAAATGCAAGAAAAGTCTATTTATTTTAAAAGAAAGCATTTGTAATGTGTCACGTCTTTCAGACATAATTGTAAGGGATTCTGATTTTCGAAATTTTTATGCTGGATGATACTAATATTTATGACATCTACAATATAAATTTTGATATTTTCGAGTGCGACAAAACTATTAATACAATATTTGCTATTTAAATCATGGCTTATATATGAGGTAGATAAATGCGCATTTAAACATGTACTGAAAAGGATTTTAATATTTCCTTTTGATTGAAATTAACAGAAATTAAATTATTTCATTCATCGAAATTTTATATAATATCAAATGAAGATTCAAAATTAATAAATAAATCAATCAACAAAATTGCAATGATAAAATATCACTGTCTAAATGAAGTCAATAAGAGATCCAGGTTTCGTATTTGTCAAAGAAACATTCAGTTTAGTTAGGATTTCTATTAATCTATGGGTATTCGAAAAAATAAGAAGTTATCATAGCCATTACAGAAACGTTTATTAAAATGCCGAATAATTTACATTTCTTGCTTCAAAAACTTGAATTAGAAAATAAGTAGAAATTTTGTTATTCTAAACTTTCTTTCCAATTATATAATTTCTGTATTTTTCTTTTCTCGAGGTTTTTCTGATACTGGCATGTTATGGAGAGAAGTTTACGAAAGCGATACCTTTGAAGAAGATATAGAGGCATTATTCCAAAAGATCAAACCTTTCTACAAGCATATGCATGCTTATGTTCGACGAAAGCTTATCGAACGTTATCCAAAACACGCCATCAAGCCAGATGGGCCGATTCCAGCGCATTTACTTGGTAAATATATGTATATCACTCAGTTTCTCATATAAATTTCTTTTATTTTAATATCTTAATTTCTTGAATATTTTTTAGTCAAGAGCTCATCCCTCTAAAATCACGACAATTAATATATGTATACAGTAACATTTTTTTTTACTCTGGTTATATTACCCGAACACAAAAATTACTCATTCATGCCAAATATTTCGAATTTCTTTTCTGAATTTACGCTACATAAAGATATTTTTAACAAACACACAAACTTACATACATAAAATGTCTTAAACGTTTAAATTTATGTGCTATTGCCAACTTTATAAGGGCTAATTAAAGGTTTTAAAATGAAAAACAAACAAACAGAATCAGTAACAAGAAGGCATCTATAGTAAAATAAATGATGTCTCTGAGCTACTAAAGCCCACTGTGGTACTATTTACCATGGGTATAACTGTAGAGAGATTAGGTTATTTCGCAGCAGAAGACACGGAAAATGTGCAATGCTCTCGCCCGGACTCGAAACTGAATCTCTCGAATACGAGCCGAGCGTTCTGACCATTACACCATGTACACATGCTAAGAAGGCAGGAGAAATACCTTACATAACGAGCCCTTCTGTTGCCCTTATCTATTTATGTTTAAAGGTATATTTCAAATCAGTAAAACATTATGGAAGCAGTTAATGATTAACATTATAGCATGTCTAAAGCATGTTCT